ACGTCTTCAAAGGTCCAGAAGGGTTGTCAATCCCCGAAAAGTGTCTTTGCCAGATGGTCGATCGAGCAATATCGATCCTGTGGATCGATTTGCAGAGATTTATTTGCGATTGCGATGGTTCAATGGATCGTGCCGTTGAATGATGATGGACAGATAAACTTGAAAGGGGTTGCTGCTGTGTCAAGCAGATGTATCGATATCGTTCAATGAACTGCTTCATGCTGCTGCAATTTTGATATTCGTTAGAGGATCATTTTTTATGGACGGTAATGATGTTATTTTTATATGTGTAAGTATGAAGTATATGTAGAAGGGTATTAGAGTTGGCGACGTATGGAATTCATCATTTGAGATTCGCAAGTTTTGTTTTATGGAAATTATTAGATCAAAGGGGGTTGTTTTGGGGTATTTTATATTGGGAGGTTTTAATTCGTTGTGATTCAACTCGAGGAGGTTCAATTCGGAGCGAATTAATTCGACGTGGTTCAATTCGGCGCGTACTAACTCGACGCGATTGAATTTGGCGCGAACCAATTCCATGCGATCAAATTCCATGCGATCCAATTCGGCGTGTACCAACTCTACGCGATCCAATTTGACGCGTACCAACTCCATGCGATTGAATTCGACGCGTACCAATTTCACGCGATCCAATTCAGCGCGTACCAATTCCATGCAATCCAATTCAGCGCGTACCAATTCCACGCGAACCAACTCGATGCGTTCCAACTCCACGCGAACCAACTCGACGCGTACCAATTCCACGCGATTGAATTCGACGCGTACCAATTCCATGCGATCCAATTCGACGCGTACCAACTCGACGCGATTGAATTCGACGCGTACCAATTCCACGTGATTGAATTCGACGCGTACCAACTCGACGCGTACCAATTCCACGTGATTGAATTCGACGCGCACCAACTCGCCGCGTCCCAACTCGAAAGCCCCCAATTCGACGCGTACCAACTCGCCGCACCCTCATTCACATTCCACCCCTACGCGATTCAATTCGACAACAAATCAAAGTCACCCAAACCTATTTAGCTAAACAAAGATGTTTCAAAAACTTGAACCTCTATTTCAAAAAATAAATAATTGCCCTCACAACTTTTTGTGAGTCATCAATGCACTCGCAACAAAAGGTAACCTAACCTAAACACGTGTACTGTCGCAAATGTCCATCCCTTTTTGTTGGAACGATTTGTAAACATCCAACAGCGCAACGCACCCTAATGAACACCCCCGCCAAGCAGTGGTTTCTGGTCGAATTTGGAAAATTGCCGGAACGAGAATTACAATAGCCGAGGGTCGTGTGTCCAGCAACGGCCAGTTAGATCATGCTGCTAGCTGGTTTCCATGCTATTATTTCGAAACGAGCAGGCCATGTCGTTTATTGCGGGACAAACAAGCAGAATCGAAAGGACGGCCAGTCTGCTTTCGTAATAAAGAGATCTGTTAGCGGGATCCTTAGAAGGGACCAAACAAAGGACAGCTGACATTCGGAATCTGGATCGGGTCAACGTGTAACGATCGCAATTTGTCTGTCATAGAGACGTTTGGGATGATTTCATTTTTCAGGGAATCGTGAAACCTTGTGAATATCGATAATTGAACACGTAATGTGTACTTAGTACGTGTGTTTTAGCGATGACTTAACACGTTCATTTTTTTAAGACATGATAAGTTAAGATTTGTATGGTATATGGGGAAATGCAATGAAAGAAAAAGAATTTCTAGTTGGACAGTTTGAAGAATTTTGGGGGGTTAATTTGGGGAGAGTGGTTGAGGGGTTGGGTAGTTGAGAATTGGGGATTTATGAGGGTGGGAGCTTAGATGTTTAGGGGTTTAGGAATCTGGGAATTTAAGGAGTTGGAGGAATTTGGATATTTAGGAATTTGGGGATGGAGGTATTTGGAGACCCTGGGATTTGGGGGTGTAGGTGATTTGGGGATTTAAGTGATTTGGGAATCTAGGTGGTTTGGGGATCTAGGCGAGCTGGAGAACTAGGTGAGCTGGGGATCTAGGTGATCTGGGGATATAGGTGACCTGGAGATCTAGGTGACTTGGTGATCTAGGTGATCTGGAGATCTAGGTGATCTGGAGATCTAGGTGACTTGTTGATCTAGGTGACTTGTTGATCTAGGTGATCTGGGGATCTAGGTGAGCTGGGGATCTAGGTGATCTGGGGATATAGGTGATCTGGAGATCTAGGTGACTTGGTGATCTAGGTGATCTGG